ATTATGTCATAACTAAGTAATAAATATTATATATATATATAGTCGAAGAAAAATATAAGCTTTGTATAAAGCATTTTGATACATTTGTAATGTTATATATTCTTCATATCAATAAAAAATAAATGTGAAGTAAAAAATACTATTATTAATGATAGAAATAAAATACATGATTTTAAATCAATCGAAAAAACAAAATGGTTTTTCCCATCAAGGTGGTAAGTTAGTAGTTCAATTATCAATGTCAAATGGGTAAACACAACATGTTATAATTAAACAAAAAAAAATAGAAATTGTTAGAAAAATATGGGCACATTCTATAATATTATATATTCATCTCATCAATTATATATATATTAATATAAAATGGTGATTCGTGGACATTCAACATTCAGTAAATGGCATCTACACAAGTGGACCATAAAGTGCGTGTGTGAGGTCATCCGTTGTTTACACTCGTGTTACCACATCATAGCATGTGAGAGGGACAAAAACTTATCTCTCCCTTATGAAAAACCTTTTGTTTCCCTCTCTTCCTCTCCTCATTGGAAAAGTTCTAGAACCGTAGGTTGCCACTAGCTTTGTATGTGTATGTGTGTATGCGCGCTTGCCTAATTCACTGTAAGGGAACTTTAAACACTAACCTCTTCCATCTCTCTCGATGGACTACTACTAGATAACTCTAACTTTAACCTTCTCCTAGAACCCTTATCTTTAGAATAACCCTAATCCTAACTCACCGTTAACCCGCACTGGAAACATGGAAGAATAAATCCTAACCTTCCCTCAAAACCCTTCTTAATTTGCAGAACAACCTTAACCTTAGCTCACCGTTAACAACCACCATAATCAACACCTATTTGCATTTGAAACCCTAGGTTGGAAACCCTTAGTCTGAAGCCCAAAGGAACACCCATTTGTGTCTGACACCATGGCTTTACCTCTCTTGCTAGCGTTTGAAAATAGGGGTATAAATGGATCGAATTCGAATTTGACCAATTAATTATTTTAGGTAATTAATAAATATATAAAATAAATATTTTATTTATATAAAGTATATAAATATATTAATTAACTATATAATTTAATTATTATGCATATAAATTATATAAGACATTTAAATATTTTATATATTATATATAAGAATTAAATAATCGATTGATTTCGAATATTTATTAAATCGAATCAGGTCATATCCGAATTCTACCGATTAGATATTGAATTAGGAATGCAAACGAATCAGATTGGATTCAAACCAGTGTATATCAGAATCCAATCCGACAATGTTCATGTTGGATCCGATCCGAATATCAGTTCAGATTCACGAAGCCTCACGACCTCTTCGGGAAACACAACCTTCTTGCTCTTCACTAGGGTGGTCTACAAGTCCATGATGGCGTTCGAACCACTGGTCACCTCGATCTCGGGTGGTGGAAGGGGTCCTCAGATATACGGGTGGCCTCAAGCTCTAGTGAGGTCGTTTCTGGCTGGTCTCCCTCGACTAGGTCAACTGCCGACACGACCTCAACACTTCGCACAACGGTTTTTAGAGCAACGACCTGAGGTGCCTCTTGGTGGGCCACCTTCCTCTTCTTCCTCTTAATGGCATGGAACAACCCGAAAGTTGGCATACCTGACATGTATCCTACATGAGAAATCTAAGGGTGAGCAAAACTGGAGGAAAAAAAAAAGAGAGGAGAGGAGATAAAGTAAAAAAGAAAAAGATGGGAAATGCCCAAGCCTGAGACAACGACTTACCTGGAGGACTCAACCTCAGCCTAGATCAGCTTCTCCTCAACCAAGTACTCACTTAGCATTGACTTTCGATCCACTAGGACCTGCACCCTCATCTACATCCGCTCACTCAAAGTTTATTCCCCAGTGTCCCTCACTCCCTCTCTCCAGGTCATCAAGAACGACCATCTACTACTTTGGTCAAGGAAGAAATACGTCATCTTCCAAGCTGGTACTTTGGAGGGTAATTCGTTCAATGGCTTATACCCAGGGCGGTAGGACAAGTAATAATTGTACATCTCGGGACAGTTGGAAGGATTTTTTTTATATGGCATATGTCGACGAAGGCATTAACATCTAGGGGGAAACCGACGTAATGACAAAAGGGGATGGTGCTGACTAGGGTCCTAATGGAGTTGGGATGAAATTGACATAAGGTAATGTTATAATAGTTCATCACATCAGGAATATGTGGATGAAGGGGGAACTGAAGACCCGCTTTTCAGCACCTCCACGAAGATAGTGACATCGTCTTCCTCGTGCTCCCAAGGGTACTGCCGAAGGGGAAGGGAATACCCGAACTTATTCAGAATCCCGTGTCTGAGCTATGAGCTCGTAGATGTTCTTAGCAGAGAGCTCGATGGGACCAAATTGGTTCGCTGCTTTAGTCTTATGGGAAGATGAGGCCCTCTTATAAGAACCTCGTCAGTATAACGTTGGAAACTGTTATTGACGCCGGAAAACGGACATTAAACAAATTCTGTCATTTATACAGGCAACCTGTATTCACGCCGGAATACCCCTGTTTTTCCTTTTCTTTCGGTTTTGGTGTCAGCAGACGTCGGAGTCAAGTCGGAAAAAATAATGATAACATACCTAAGATGCCGGAATGACGTCAGAATCATGTCGAAAAAACATGATAACATACCTAGGTGGCTAGGACGCCAGAATACCCTGTCTTGAGTGCCCTACCCCGGTTTTGTGAACGCCCAGCCAAACTTGCTATTTGATCTGTAAACATATGCTCCAATTTACTAGTTTTGTCACTGCCGGGAACTCTAGTTTTAAGAGAAGAGCACCGTATTCCTGAATATATCAGCATGTTCAAACATTTGTCATTTGTGTGGCTTAAGTATGGGTGCAACATACTGTTTTAAGGAAATTCTTGCCCAAGTTGGCCTTAATTGCAAAGAATTTGTTTACCTGAAAAGCAATGGTCAAATCGGAGATGGAGATGCGTTAGCCATTGTTACCCATTTGCCTGCTATAAAACACTTGAACATACAAATTTTATATACAGTATAGATAAAGGATTATTTTAGTTAAAAAAAACTTTTCCTCTTCATCTGCACTTTTATATATATTATAGATATAGATAAAAATAATTTTCACAAATGAAAGTATAATGACCCATGCTTTGCAACATTAATACTTTGGAGTTTGGACCTTGAGTAGGAGGGGATTATCAAAGAAGTTTCAGAAGAGATTGAAGGTTAGAATGAAGTGGGTTTACTATAACAATGTTAGATTTGCAATGCCCAATTCAAATTTGATTAGGTATTTACTATAACAATTTTATATTTGCATGACTTCAAATTTGATTATGGGTTTACTATAAAAATGTTAAATTTGCATGATGAGTTGAGATTTAACATGGTGTGTTTCTGCTAGGGGAACAATTTAGGTGGGCCCAACCTGAGCCCGGGCTGACCCACCCTGCAATTTTGTACGGGCTGATTTGAATTTTAGGTCCTCAGGCTAGGCCTGGGCCAAAAGTTCAGGCTCTCTTAATATTCGGGTTGGGCTCGGGCTGCCCAACATTATACCATCTTGTGTTTCTGGCTTTCTGCTTTGTTTTTTTCAAAGGCTTTAACGAGAAGCCCCGGCCCCCGTGTATTGTAATCTCTTTTCCATTCTTGTAGAAAGAGAGCTACTGGGTCAGACGAGAATTTCGCCATATACCACCTGTCTTCTTAATTCAAGACCTGTTGCTTTGTCTTTTTTAGTGAAGAAGTTTTTGAGGAGGTTCTAAGCTCCTTGGTGGCTGAAACTGTATTTGGGTATATAACAATATCATTTGACAATTTTTTTATTTAATTATTTTAACATCTAACAGATAAAGCATTAAGTCTTTCAATTCTTATCAAACAGTCCTAAGTTTCTTATTCAGCCAAGAACTTGTAAGGACAACCATGCTTCCTGAAGAAAAAACAGAGTTGGAAGTAATGAGAAAAAGATAAGCTAAAAAAAAATAGAAATTATCTACTGTTGAATGTAACGGAAGCATGGTGCTGAAATTTGGGAATCATATAACTTGGCTTCCTACCTTACCGTAGTCACCAATGACAGCATTTGTACAATTGGTCTACTGCTATACCGCAAAAAATGGGGAATCCACACTTGGTGGTCTGTTTCTGTTCCAAGTTTCCAACAACCGGACTAGAAGAGGATACAGGCTCCCACTACCAGGAACATAGGCTATATTTTGAATAGTGTTCTCTACTCTGCATAATACCCTTCATACACTTATGCCACAGGTGGACCAGACTGGCTGAAGCTCCCAGTCCAGGTTGGTTGATCATATTTGTTGTATCTTTACTGCCCATTCTTTCTGCTTTCCAATATAGACAAAGTCATTTTACCTACCGATGCCTTGTTCATCAATCAATTGGACGCCAATGCCATACTACCAACTGTTAGGCCCCGTTCGGTTTTCAGAAATGGGGGCCTGGAATCGGAATCAAAATAGGCTATTCCAATTCTAACTGTTTGGTCGGGCAAAATTGGAATCCCATTCCCATTCCTAGTGGAATGGCATTCCCCCATTTGAGGGAATGGCATTCCCTTCCCCTCCCTTGCGAATGAAATCCCATTCCTGCTTTCAATTCTCATTCCCATTCCTGTCTGAACCAAACAGACTATGGGGATAGACCATTCCGATCCTGATTCCAGATCCTTATTTCTTTTCGTCATTGGAGATGGGGCCATCCCAGACGGGGACGGGTTCTATTTTCTCAGCCTCTAAGGAGTTCCAGCCACGGAGGTTGGAGTAAGGTTCACTTACCCCTTTACTTGAATAAGCCTTCCTCCTACTAGAAAACCTGAGGGGAACCTCTCTACAACGGAAAGACAGTTTAGTGTTGGTATTTCCCCACAACATAGATTTATTTAGACCGGCAACAGCATTCCGAAAGCAAATAGTATGCTCTCAAGCAATGATCTAAAAGAAAATAAACATAGAAAAGATTCATAAATAGCAAGAAGAACCAAAGGCAGAAACCACAATCTAGATATATTTCATTTAATGCTTCCAAGGAAGAAAAGTTTCCTGTGAAATTCATTGGATGGATGGAATCAATTTCATGTTTTCAAGGTATAACACCTGTATTCTGTCAGATAATGAGGGAGTTGAACTGCACCCCAGTGTTACAAGACGCTGCATTACTGTTTCTAGTCTAGTTCTCACCTGAAACAGGACGAGAAAGTCACTTTACAGAGAACCCAGATAAAGAGAAAAATGATGAACTTGTAAATTACAAAACTACATCTCCCTCCTACCCCCAGTTTCTGAGCAAAAAACACTACATCCCCCTACTACCTACGAATGAGATTTCCACTTCCTAAGAAGTTCATCATACAGATATCCTTTCCCCATTTTGGACAAACTGCTTTTCAACTTTGAAAGTGTTGAAGAGTGCAACTTGACTCCCTTTTCGATCATATCCTCAGCATACTTTCGTGCCTCTGAAAGCCTATTGAGGTCACGTAGCCCAAGAACCAACGAATTCCCAATGTCTTCCAAACCAGACATCCCATTTTCAATCATGCACTTCCAGACCTTTATGGCCATAACTGGATCACCGATATCCAAGTAAATCCTAACAGCTGAAGCACAGTTAGTCTCGCTAGGAATGCACTCATTTTTAATCATCTCATTGAAAATAGCTGAAGCTTCACGTAGCTTTCTCCACTTAATCAAGAACTGGAACATCACATTGTATGTCTTAGAATCTGGAAAAGCTCCATTTAAGATCATTTCGTCCAAATACCGGAAAGCAGTGTCATAATTGTTGAGATAACAGTGCAAAGTAATCATCAAATTGTACATATGGGTATCAGGTTTGCAACCATTCCTCTCCACCATTGCTTCCCAAAGGGTGCTAGCACTCCGGACACTGTTCGATTTAACAAACTCTTCCAATGCAGTCCTGAAGAATCTCATCCCGGGGAAACATTTCTTCCCTGCCATCATCTCAAAAAACTTCATCGCTTCATGAATGTCATGACCCTTAAGCAATGTATTCAGAAACGAGTCATAAGCTGGTACATTCTCTGGGTTCCATCCAATATCAATCACCATTTCACCGAAAGTCTGTCGAGCACAAGCAACATTATTCTCATTTTCCCAACCTTCCAATAGAATTGCGTATGTATCAGCATCCGGTCGAATCTTATCCTTGGCAATGTCAAGAAACTCCTTTGCCTTCATTGTCTTTCCTTCTCTGCATATCGCGCTGAGCAGTGAATTCAATGCTATAATATCCCGAGCAACACCATACTGATCCATGACCTCAAACGTCATTATCGCCTCCTCAACTCGGTCTGCAACCACATAGCTGCTAAAAACAGAAGCAAATGTCGCTAAAGAGAGCAGCCCTTCCTTCTTCATGGACTTGATTGCATCCCACATTGCGTCGAACAATAAGTTCTTCCCTAACAAATCAACAACCAGGTTCCATGCATACGGACTATGCTTGTCATTGAGCTGCCAGCCGGACCAGCGGAAGAACTTCACAGCAGTAGATGGGTAGCCATACGAGAGTTTCAGAACCTCCTCGACGTCTCCCGTCGTAACCCTAACTCCTGTCTCTTCGAGGACCTTCTCAACGGTTGGAGAAGGCGTGTTGGCTATGATTTCGCAGAGCAATTTGGTTTTGGGAGGCAAATTCGGGGATTCTAGATACGAAATGAAGGCAGGACGCCTACTCTGACGCTGGTTCTGCTTTTGCTGCTCAGGACCTTCATCGGAAGCAGGGTTCGCATAGGAAGAAGATTGACGCTTCTTGTTCTGCTCCGGTTTCGAAGAATCATCATCGCGAGAAGATCGTTTCTTATTTCGATCCATGGGAACAAACAAACCAGAAAAGTACAGTTAAAAAGTTGCTGATCCAAATTTTAACTGTTCTTTCTACCGATGGATGGATCGATCGGCGGAAACCCTAGAAACAGAGAGAGAGAGAGAGAGAGAGAGAGAGAGAGGGAGAGAGAGAACTGAACAGCAAGGTTTTGTTATTTTGTTCAGTAGGTGTTTAGGTGAAACTCGGAAGATAAAAGGGCTTCAAATGACTAAAATCTCCCTCATTATATTTGTGGCGAGTTAATTTCCTTTTGGACAAATTTCTTAAATTACTACCTTTGTAGCTAATTGACTGACTCTATCTTATCGTTTACATATTGTTTTAAACTACCTCAAATTTTATAATAATTGATTAATTCTCCTCTACCGTTAGGGTTCCGTTACAATATATCACAATCTCCTCACTGCCATACCACGTAACGGTTATGTTTTACGAAAAAGACAATAATACCCTTTTTGTAACTGAATAGAATATCTTCGGTATGATTTTGTCTCTCTTAATCTCTTCGGTAATCGGTATTATTTTCCTGCCGGAAGTTGTCTCTCTCTGAATCTCAGTATTCCCGCCGAGCTCCTCCGTCTGGGATGGCAATGGTAGAAAAACAGTGATGGAGAGAAGCAAAATATCAAACCAGTTAATAAGCATTTCTAGTGAGAAATGGAGATTAGTGAAGATGTGCCTTCGGCCTTACAATTTGACACGATGACGAGAGCACTAAAACTGCTGTGGGCTACTTCTTTGGATTCAAGGATCCAGCTTGATTGAAGCTGTTAATGAACGGCTTAACTGAGAACAGAGGCACTCTGCTCAATCCGACTTAAATGAGGCAAAAACAATTCCTAAAGCCGCCATCATCCTTGCCGCTGAGTTGAGTAGAGTCGGATTGTTTAAGAGGCAGGAGTTGCTTTATCCTTAGAATGATCTCTGAGCAGAGTCAGATTGCTCAACTCTGAACTGTAGCTGGTAGACCCAAATCTGAATACAGAAATTCTGTTGTCTATACAGCAGAGTCAATCTGAATACATAAATGCTGTTAGACCCAATCCGAGCGGAGTTAGATTGCTCAAATAGATAGCATAGCATCGGCTTCTTTGGCGGTAGAACGATTTCCCATGTAAACTATACAAAAATTCTGCACACATCAATTGCGGTGACTGCATTTAAATCATGAAATTGAAAGAGTGCAATTAGAAGACATGATTAATGGAAGAAACAATGAAAAACCTTTTGCCCGTCTCCATTGACGACAATGAAACTTGTCAAGAAAACGAGAAGAATATGATGCTAATGGTGGCAGCGGGGATATATCATATATCGGTTCATCTTTTAACATGTTTACAGAAAAGAAAGTTAGGATCTATCTGTGTCTGGAGGGGCTTCTCCGTTGCTAACTGTGAATAATAATGGTTCAAGGGGTGCTGTGCCTGATAAGCATTGGAGGTTTCAAGTGAGACAATGGTGCATCTCAGGGTTTGTTCGGTGGTGACAGCAAAAATAGGGTTGCGTTTGGAATTAGTGTAAAATGTCATCGGTGTAAAAATACATTAATAATGTTTTATACTAAACCATCGTTGCTTTTTGAAAAACACAATAGGTTGAAGAGTGTAAAATTTTACATTGATAAAATTAACGTAGTTTTTATATCGATTATCGATATAAAACTTTATGATGTTTTACATTGATTATCGATGTAAAACTCCACTTCATCCAAATGTACGCAAAATTAAACCGAAATGGAATTTTACATCGATCATAATCATACACTCATTCCAAATACCTACAAAACCAAACAGATTTAAATTTTACATCAGTTCTTAATTTACATCACTTCCAAATACAATCTAAGTGTGAAAAGGAGATGGAAGAAAAAGAGATAAAAATGCTATTTACAGCGACAGGATGATGGTGGCTATGAACAGGGGCGGAGATGATAGAGTGGAGCAAGGAAGGAGAAAAGGCGGAGATGACGTGAATAAACTATGGAGTGGATCTGGGAATTGTTGCCGCTATTTTGTCGCTATGTTGAGAGGAGGACGTGAATGAACTATGG